CAGCAGCGGTGCGTCTCGTGGGCTAGACTAACAAAACATTCAAATGCAGCAATGTCGCTTACATCATTATCTCCGCATCTCGTGCTCCACTGATGACTCTCCCTGATGGACACCTAACATTCAAATGCAAATGTTTATTTTAAATTCGACTAATATTCATGTTTTTAGTCACAATTTCCTCATCACAGGCAGGCACAGCACTCATTTCAGCATGTGTTCGTGTTTGTGTGTGCTGTCTGCGTCACTCATAGCACGTGCCTATATCGTGCGCCATATCGAACATTTTTTCTATCGTTATCGAAGAAGGTGTACCGTCGATAAATATCGATACCGTTTTATCGCCCAGGCCTATATACCATAAATTATATACTCTATTTATCAAGATACATTTGCATCTTTGACGATCTCTCAGTAATGTTTGTCTTGTAAATGCAGATCAAAAGTGGAAAGTGGACCAGAGATTGTCACAGGAAACCCAACAGTCATTAAGATGGTGGTGAGCTTTAACAGAGGAGCCAGGAGCCCGAACGCACTCCGGCAGATCCTGGCTCCGGTCGTGAAGGAAATCATGGATGACAAGACGCTCAACATTAAAACTGACCCAGTCGACATATACAAGAGCTGGGTGAACCAGATGGAGAGTCAAACTGGAGAGGCCAGGTGTGTTTTCAACCTTTTTGATATGAAGTGCAGCCCGCTATCTAACACAATATTCTCCCCCTCCATATACGCTAAGATATTTTCAGTATTTTCTTCTGTAATTATGACAAAGCTGCTTGTTTTCAAACTTTTATTGATATATCTAATTAATTAATGTGGTTAATTCATTTAATGTATTAAATTATTTAACTTTGATTTATTTTGTGATCCCACAGGTTATGTTCTATATTCCAGAACTGTATGTTCTTCAATAAAAACAGTAGTTATTTCATTTAGATTAGAATAATATTATTTTAATATACTAAGGATATTAATTATTAATTTAATATCTACATCATCCTGTGTCATCCTTGGAAGTCTGCTGAGGCCCTTTAGTGGGCCCTGGGGTTAAGAACCACCACTCTAGTCTGAGACAGGCACTGTTACAGTGTTACAAAATTCACCTGCATGAATCAGCGAGCTTCAGCTTTCAGAGACACATTTTAACACGCTTTGGACTGTTGTTGAAGAGGAGGCC